TACAAAATAGCTTCTACCAAAAAATATGCTGCATACTCAATCTACAAAGGACTTTTTCTTTCTGTGCACTTTTTCTCTAGAGATGCACAATCTTCAATTTATTTATTATTAGGTAATTGAAGCCGGCTGACTCACACACACACTGGCAGATATGCTGCTGACTCGCCCACACGCTCTCACACATACACACATACATACATACGTCACGGGCATCGCGCGATGTGTAAAATCCAATAGGAATCAAGGTCAGTAACGAGTGAGAGACGGATTGCGAGAGAACCCGTGGTAGAGAGCGCGGAAGAAAGGCGAGCATATTGAAGACGAAAAAAATATGCTGCCCATTGCACTTTGATGTGGGATTCCGCCCTTTAGCCAACAAATTCAAATGATAAACAAACACGGGTCCCGATCTATGCTGTAGACGGCGCTATTAGCGAGGTGAACAACCCCACTCATTTGCATACATGCGAATCAGGCTGTAATTAGCCGTTCGGCGCTTAGATTACCGCACTTACTCTTCTCCATCGTATTGCGCTTCGCACGTTTCTTTCTGTTGGCAATTTTGTTGTCTATAACTGTTCTTTTTCCGGGTGCAAAACTGTCTTCTCTCTCTGTCACTGCTTTTCCGGCTTTGATATCCCGATTCGCGGATATTCAGGGATCCCAGGCGGTATGATAGGTGTGTTCGACCGTTCCAGTTACCGCGACACCAGCAAATTACCATACAAAATAGTTTATTTTCGTTTCAAGACGTTGAAATAAGAAATTGTTCATTAGTGTGACTGTTTCTATATTTGCTACTAAAGCGTTAGCGCCTCGTCAAAGTTGACCGAAAAACCACACTTGTCCACACTTGCTCAGCGCGGGAAATCAGTTCTCTTTGATTTTATATATTTTGTTGGTGCATAAAAATTGAATGAATAGGTGTCCTAAATAGAAAAGGGTGACAATTTGGTTCAAACCGACAACCAATAAGCGGAATGCTTTCCTTCTCCCGTTTCTTTGGAAAATGTTATTTTTCATAAAAACGTAATCCAATAAAAAAATACTGTCCTGGTCTGAAAATACCAAACAGTTCTTAGCAGCAATCAACAGCTGTTCTGGCTTCGTTATCCAACACTGAGTTTTGCGAAACGGCATTTCGGCGCGTGCATTTTATAAAGATTTCGGCAAATAAACAAGGATTTCGAGAATGTTTGATGTGGAACCGATAATAGCTGATCACAAGGACGTAATACATGATGTGGTGTTCGATTACTACGGCCGCCGGATGGCCACCTGCTCGAGCGACCAGACAGTGAAGGTGATGCCGGTGGTTTCTTGTAAACAACCAATTTTGTGATTATGAATTATGTCCGCAGATCTGGGACGAGGACGGGCAGGGCAAGTGGAGCGTGACCAGCAGCTGGAAGGCCCACTCCGGCTCCATTTGGCGCGTGTCCTGGGCGCACCCTGAGTTCGGTCAGGTGGTGGCCACATGCTCCTTCGATCGCACGGCTTCCGTTTGGGAAGAGGTGATTGGCGAAAAGGTATCGTCGACCAACGCTCCCACACGCCGCTGGGTGCGTCGCACCACGCTAGTGGACTCGCGCACCAGCGTCACCGACGTGGAGTTCGCTCCAAAGTACCTGGGACTGCTGCTGGCCACCGCATCTGCGGATGGCATCATTCGCATATACGAGGCACCGGACATTATGAACCTTTCGCAGTGGCCTGTGCAGCACGAGATCGCCAATAAACTGCCACTAAGCTGTCTCACATGGAACACCTCCACCTACATGGTCACCCAGCTGTTGGCGGTAAGGAATCTTTTATTGACTTTGATTGTGAAATCTCTTTAACTTTAATTTTTTGCAGGCGGGCAGCGATGAGGCGGCCACGCCCACTGGCAAGGTCTTCTTATTTGCCTACAGCGAGAATGCCCGCAAGTGTGTAAAAATCGAGACTGTGAACGATATAACTGATCCAGTCACTGATGTAGCCTTCGCCCCCAATGCCGGTCGCACCTTCCACATGCTGGCCGTGGCCAGCAAGGATCTCTACATTGTTAATCTGCGGGGTGTAACGTAAGAGCAAGAGAACCTCATAAAATAAGCCCATGACTAACGATTCCTAACTCTTCTAGGGATGCCACTGGTAACTCGAAGCTGGACATCCAGACCGTCAAGTTCAGCGAACACAACTGCCCCGTGTGGCGCGTCTGCTGGAATATGCTGGCCACCATGCTAATCTCTACCGGTGATGACGGTTGTGTTCGCCTTTGGCGAATGAACTACAACAAGCAATGGCGTTGTGCCGCCGTGCTAAAGGCGGAGGGCAGCGGGCCTACCTACGAGCCGGCTCCGCCCACTCCGACATTGGCCACCACAGCCTCGGCCACGGCCAAGTTCTACAAGAAGGGCACCATTGGTAACCAGGTGCCGTGGCACTGATTTTGTAGTTTATCGTTAGATTTCCAAATAAATGCCTAAGTTGAAAGTGGCCTGGTTGATTTTAATGAGGAGTACTTCATCATGGATGGAGGGATGTCGTAGTTCGATTTGTTCTAATCGAATGAGTTAAGGTAAAAATTGTAATACATTTAATCTACTTTTATATATATTGTTGCTTTATATAGGAAACCTATTTCGAGAAATATTTTTTATTAACAAAGTAGGCCAGAAGTAACGTTGGGCTTGTTAATAATCTTTGCTAATTCGTTCATTCATGGTTACGACTTTATGAGGAATAGATCTTAAATGTGATGATAATGTTCTTTCTGTGACTGCTTTCTATGGTCACTTACGCCTTGGAACATGAGCCGGCGTCGGCATTCTGATAAATCCGATGAGCAGCTTCCTAGTCCACATATCGCCTTCGGCAGTATCTCTTTCACCTTTCAGCTCGTATATATATTACATCACATAAACGTGGGGACTTGGAAGATGCCGACAGATGCACCACACGCACACATTCGATCCGACGGGTTGGCCGCTGCTCAAACTTCAGCCGGCTAACTAGGGCAATTATTGATTTCTGACTATGTTCCCCGCAAAGAAATAATCAAAACAAAATTAAAGTTCACATGACAAGCCAGAGCGAGGCACTTACGAAAATAATACATAAAATTTCTCTCGTTCTCCGGCCGTACCCTCCGCATGTGTGTCTGTGAGACGGCGCGAGCGCTAGATCTGATATGCTGGCTATTTTTAAAGCGGTTGAGCGCAGGCGAGAGCGAGAGAGAGCCAGTAAATAATAGTAAATAAAAGGCATTTTCAAGTTCAGTGATTATTGCATTCAAATTGAATGGATTTATTAACTCCCATTTACTCATATATCTGTGTTCGATTAACCCCACACAGTCTCGCGGACAAAGGCAACGGACCTTTATGTCCTTTACACACATGAATGTAATTCCATTTCCATTACGTCCACATGTGCTCTTGCTCCAGATGTGCATAAATTAAATATTACTTGAGCGTTTTTATGATGTTTGACACGAAAAACCATTCAGAACTCGAAGTTGTCGCGAAATATTCCACTTAATTGACCCGAACCGCAATAAAAATGGGAATCATTTCCCTGTCGATGACACCGCACAATTATAATGATATGCAACCACCATCCCATGGCAGGTACTCCGGGTACTGCTACTGCTGCTACTGATCCTGTTGCTCTGCTGGTAATCCGAGGAATGAAATCCAGTTCAACCGACTCGATGGTTTTTGTAGCCTTTGCCTCTGTGATAAAACCACCCTGCCCGGGTTGATATCAGGGAACCCCTGTCCCAGATCCGAATGATTGTCTCTAATTGGAAGTTTTGACGTGTGTATTATGCCAAAGGCGATGGTGTTGACGCCGATCCCGAGCAGAGCCACCCCTATATACACCCTCTATACCTTTTTGGGTATTGCCCTGTGGGCGGCGGTGATGGTGGTGGCTAGCATGTCGCGTGGGAAGTCAAAGCTCAGAGGTCTCTCACATAGTGGTAAGTCCTGGCAGAAAAAACATTTATATGTGTTTAACCGGCAAAAATAAATTAATGCGCAAAAGATTGTTTCTCGCGCGTTTTCCGGGGGTGATTTCGAATTTTCCCACATTCCAAAGACAGCAATTTCGGTTGCTCAGCTGCAATGCAATATAGGTTTTAAGTGTTTCTTTTGAAGTGTTTCATTGGCGAGTAGTTAAACAATATATTAAATTAAATTAAATGATTCCCATGGGATCTAGGAATTGTTAAGCTCTAGAGGGTTAAGGGGTTACGCCACCGTGGCGACCTCAAAGATATATAAGTACAAATTTTAATAAAAAACTAATGATAATATACGTAAATAAATGTATAACTCCTTAATAAAAACCGTAAAAACTGATCCTTAAACCGTATCTAAAAAATGTTCCTTTGCTTTCATATCTATTATGATATTCCTAAACCCATAGGACATTCATTAAGTAAATCACCTTTCACAGAAACGTGTTAAATTCTAGTTAGTTAATTTATGTATTTTGTCCACAAAAACACCCCAAGCCAGCGGATCAGCTAAAATATTATGATGTATTTTACCTACCTTTACCTTTTATGACACAGTTCCCTTTGGGTTTTCAGTTTTCTGGAGCGCTGACCCGATCTTGGTCTCGCCGGGTTTCCTGTTCTACGTGGAAATTCGGGTTCCTGCAGTGCTCTTGTGGTTGCGCGACCCCAGCACCTTGCTAACCCCGATCCCTAATTACGGGTGGCGAATGTGCAGCCGGCTTAACTAACTGCCGCGGATCGGGTGCTCACGTGCTTGCTTAGTTAGTGGCTCAGAAACCCATATGCATATGCAAATTTCATAAACCATAAGCGGCACTACTAGTTGACCCCCAGTGCTGGCTTGACCAGCGGTCAGCGGTCCGCCGTGCGCAACCCAAAATCCGCGGTCCAGCGTTCGCTAACGAGCACGGTGGCAGCTTATTGGGTAGGGATTATTTCCAGTCCAATGGACAAGCGCAACATGGTTTTTTTGGAAAAAATATAAAGTATGTAAAAGTTTACGAAGGGAATTTATAAATAGCTTAAAACTGTGGGTCACGAATGGATCCTACATGGCTCCCGTCTGGGTCACTTGTCATCCGACGGCTGATAGCCAAAGTGCAGTCTTGCCTGCTCGTATAGAATAAAAGTAATAATCGTGTTGGGACAGACGCGAATCAGTGCCGGGATGAATCCACGGTAAAAGGCCATTGGTCCCTGCTGGGCGATGCTCCAGAAGGCGCCGCTGATTCCAGAGAACTCGCCCGGCTTGGCGTTCATGTACGTCGTCTTCATAACATCAAGAGGTTGCATTATTGTGACGGCAATGCAGCCGGCTATTGTGGACGTGGCCAAGTGCAACGGCAGCCCATCAGCCGCTGCGGTGGCTGACCTGATCATTTGTTTCACCTGGTCGTAAGATGCATTGGTTCCAATGGTCAGGAGTACGGCTCTCGAAACGGCAGGCAGTGAGCCGCGGAAGAGGCTGTGCACACCCTCCTCCTTGTAGATGCGGAATAGACCGTCGAAGACATGTTTGTAGCTGTGTGATCAGGTACGGATTAGAATGGGCTTTGAAGGAGGTATTTAAAAAAAATTAAAATAGATCAGGTTACCCACTTTCGTCGCTGTTCCGGCGGCAGCTTACTGTCGTTTTGCAGTCGCACTGTGACCACATCTCCGGGCACGCCCACAAATCCTCCGCAGAGGCCGGCGAATGTGGCTAGGCCCACCTTGGCACGTACGCTCTCGGCATCGACATACTTCTTGCCCCACTCATACAGGGCAAAGCGGGCGGTGGTGTAGGTAAGCTGGCGAAACCAGGAGGCCGAGATGCCATTATAGAACGCCTTTAAGCCGCCTTGCTCATAGATATTGCCGACGATCTCAGTGAAGGGCTTCCGGTCCGCTTTCGCCTGCGTCTGCAGCTGCACCTTAATGAGGTCCAATGGTTGGGTGGCGGTCACTGCGATGGCCGAGCAGACGCCGCCGAACCACCAGCGAGGCAGACGTTTTGAGTCCGCATGGCCCATGGATCTAATTAGACCGAAGTATCCTCTAATTCTTCTGATTGCTTAACGAATGACACCAGTATCTCTTCATTTCTAATACACTTTGCAATTTTGAATAAAATGCTTATCCACGTGACAATAAACACTAAGATAATAAGGAACTTAATCATTTTTGATTGTTTAAGAATTATATTTTTGGTTATATTTACCATATATACAAATTGTATATCTTGAATCGCAGATTTCTTTTTTCCCCCAAAGACACTTTTGGTAAATATTTTTAAAATTATATATTTTCTCTTATAAACAATTGTGCTTATTTACAATAGATTCACAAATGGTTCATATACTTATATTAAATATTAATTGTAATTGCTTAATAAATTAATTAATCCCTGCTGGCTTTTTCTTCTCTTTTCTTTTCTGTAGGATGCAAAACTTAGGACTATCACACTGGGTCTGCTCTGACTAGAGTTCTTCGGTTTCGGTTTTAGCTCGGATTTTCCCCGATTGTTTTCATTATTCTTACAATTTCCCGATCAATAGGCCATCTCGGCTCCCCAGGGTCTATAGGGCTTGGCTCCATTAGGCGTGGCATACTGAAGGACACTGGCATTGTTGTAATCCTGACCGCCGCTCACCGGATACTGTGGGGCTGTGCTGTAGCTGAGACTCTCGGAGCTCACTTCCGCCGGACGATTGCTGTTGGTTAGCTCGATGTAGGTGGGTAACTGTTGCTCCGGATGGACCACGCTATGGTCGTGGGTGTAGTGCTGCTGCTGTTGCTGCTGGGCAGGTTGTGGAGTAGTCGTGGTCTGGGTTCTTTGCTGATGTTGTTGCTGGTGTTGCTGCTGTTGTTGCTGCTGTTGTTGTTGCTGCTGTTGCTGCTGTTGCTGCTGACTGTTGGCTTCAGAATGAAGGTCATGACTGGGCAGTACCTCGTTTCCAACCGCTGCACTTGCTCTACCGACACTAGTGCGGCCTCCATGCTGCTGTGGCTGCTGCTGCTGAGAAGGCGAGGCGCTCAGCGTGGGATAGCTAGAGTGGATTGAGCTGCTAGTCACATAGGGACCAGGATTAGCTGGCGCAGCGTAGCTCTGGTACGTAGCCGCTGCACAGTTGGGCTGATAGCCAGCAGTGCTGGGAGAAGGTGCAGTCCAGCCGCCAGGACTGGCACAGCTCTTGGCCGATAGCTCACGCTGCTGAACAAAGTACTGCAGGTGAGACATGAGGCGCAGGCGCATCGGATCCTGGATGTCCATTCCCTCGATGGTCACCAGGTAGCGAGCCACCTCGGCGGCGCATTCGCGGAACCCAATGATGTGATAGTCCATGGCCACGCGCTGCGGGTCGTAGGTGAGTGAGTCGAGAGCTGCAATGGAAGAGAGGCGGAGAAAGTCAATAAGCTGTCTAATCTGGGATCGAGTAAACAATTAAAATAGTTGTTCCCACGCGACATGCATAAAGAACAACCCCCCTGGTGTCCTTCTGCGGGATAACGTAGGCTAACAGGAACTATCTCAGGGGGTGGAAGCCCAGCCCAGCCCAGCTCTAGCTTTTGTAGGATTTTTAATGGTGGTGCAGTGGGCAGCGTGGGAAGACCCGAGAATCGAGATTCACTCGGGCTCACTTTAGGGTGGCAATCATAATTTTCCCACAACACGACCCTGTTCGGGACAACAGGTTAGGGCATTGTTTACCCGGATTTGTGATAATTTGCCGCATATTGTATTTAAGTGATTCCCACAGAGGGATTTTGTTTACAAGTTTTAGATGGTATAGTTCCCAGGCTATTTTTTTTTATTAGAGGAATAGCTCTTTCTTAGCTCTATCTTTTCCTATCAATATTAAAGAGATTTCTTTCTTAAACTTTTGAAGCAAAAAAATAGAAACTTACTTTTCGATTGCAGACCCTTTAGATGCTCCACGGTTAGCTGCAGGATCTCAGCCTTTTCCAGCTTGGCGGATCCTTGTTTCTCATAGGCGGAGGGCACCAACCGCTTCAGTTCGGTCAGCGAGGAGTTGATCCGATCGCGGCGCTTCTTCTCGATAACCCCGCGTCGCTTTTTGCGGGTCATCAGTTGGCAGCTTCCGGGTCCACTGGGAGATATTCTAAAAGGAGAAAAAGAATAAAGTTAAGAGTTAGAAAGATCTAGAAAAAGGACTAACCTAGTTCACAGAAAAGAAGAGAAAAGTACTGAAGCGATCTGACTTGGTTTAAGGTTTATTGGGGAAAATTAGGCGACAATTTATACTTTATTTATATTTAAAAAGAAGTATCTATATATCATTCTTAAGAGCACGAAAATGTATTGATCTTATTGAAAGGTTAGCGGCTTAAAAAATAATTTAAAACTCTTGAAGTTGTTGAATATATAAAACGTTTTTAATTACACCGCAAAATAGCTCTTGAATTTATCCTTTGAAGTTTTTGTAACTATTAATCAATTAGATTTTTATAAAATGTAACAAATCACTTCTAAGGAAACACATTTGATCGATCTTAACATATATTTTTTTATCACGTATACGCACTGTTCTTTGGATGACTCCTCGGAGTAGAGATCGTCGCAGTCGCTCTCGGAAAGCGTCCGCTTGTGGCTGCTGTGCCCCTGACTGTGGTTACTGTGATGGCTGTGATGGGACGGCGGCGGCACCCAGTGGCTCTGCGGCACAGAGGTGCCCACTCCGGGCATGGCCACTGCGGGTCCAGCTGCGTAGCCCCAGTGATGCAGTGGCGCGTTCACGTGCATGTTGTGATCCATTGTGCGACGAGTGTAGTGTGTGTGTTGTTTGTCTGGTTCGTTGTCCGTTTGTTGCTCCTGCGCACTTGACACTTTTGTTGGTTCTGAACTTGCAGATAAAGCCGGAGCTGGAGCGGAGCTAGTTTTGAGCACGTGACTTATCGTGTGCGCGAACGGCGGTCGACTGATTCTGCAGCACACGTCCAGCGGACGACCTGCCCTCCTCCGCCGCCGTCGCTGCCGCCGCTCAACCCCTTTTTACCGCCGCCGGCAGTCGTCCAATAAGACGCAGCAGCAACCACCCCTTGGCAACGCGTGCTGGCCGAGATTATGGGGGTAGGTACGATCGCAGCCAAATGAACAAGGGAGTATCGCCACGGGAGTGAGCAGGGCAGAGCAGTAGCACTAGCAGGAGTGCGACAAGGAGCGGCAGTATCTTAAGCAAATGAGCAAGCCTCTGTCATCGATTGCGATTGCATCTGATGACAATGATTATATGGCAGCATCTGCCAGGCACAACATCTCCTAATCGGCGCCGTGGGCGGCTAACTGGCAACGTCCGCCGCCGTCGCCACTTGTCCTGGAGCGGCCGCCTGGCTGCCTCGCAGAATGGGACTCAAACTGGAGCACGCGCCCGAGCAGCCGCCGGTCGTGTGGCAAAGCCCCAACAAGTGCAACAGCCGTCGTTGACCTTTATCATAGCCCGGAGCCGTGTGTTGGCCAACATTTGTAGGTCAGTGCTGCTGGCTCAAGGTTAGCCGGGAGCCGAGATAAGAGCGGATGCGGGAGCAGGTGGTCGGAGTTGACCTAGAAATTGTCTGAGGCAAATCAATATCGAGGTTACAGCATTTGCATTTTTGAGAAGTCTTTAATGGGAACAGATTTGAGCAATTATAAATTCTTGGTGAGTATATATTTTCTCATTTCTCGTACATATTTTTCAAACAATTCTCTAGAATTTTTCTCAACCATTTTTAGATTTTTAATTAAACTTGTCCGTTGTGAAAAGCTTTTAGAGTCATAAACAAATCTCGCGCCTTCCTTCGCACTGTTTTTCCATTGACATTAATAGGTAGTTTCTCGGTGAAGAACACCCCGGCATGGAGATGTTTGTGCTCCTCCGGCAATCTGTTGGCCACATGATCCACAATCTCCTGTTCACTGATAGTGTCATCGCTGCTCCTGGCCATTAGAGCACCAGCCTCGTAACCCACCTGTGCATTAAAGATTCCCACAACGCACACGTTCTGAACCTGGCGCAGCTCCAGAATAACGCTTTCGATCTCTGATGGCCAATAAGTACGGTTTTTGCATTTAAGACCATCTTTTATGCGATCCACCACAAAGAGGGAGTTCTGGTCATCGAAGTAACCCAGATCGCCGGTGTGAAACCAGCCTTCAGGGTCCTGGATGCGGCGAGACTCCTCCTCATCTCCATAGTATCCCTTCCAGCGCAGGCCATTGTGCACATATATCTCACCGATCTGGTTGGGCCCCAGACTCACACCCTGATCGTCAACGATGCGAATCCTTTTTATACCCTTGCAGGGTATTATAGTTTCAGTCAGAAGTTTGCAACGCAGTGAAGGAGACATTTCCGACCCTATAAAGTATATATATTCTTGATCAGCATCATCAGGGGAATCTTTCTAGATATGTTAGGAAAAAATCGATTTTTGGCCATTTTTGTGAAATTTTATAAAATTTTTGATTTTGATAAAAAATTGAATTTTCAAAATTAAATTAAAAATTAAATGAAGTATGCAGATTTATTAACTGTAGAAAATCTTGCTCTTTTGGCCGATATATGATATTTTTAATTTTAAAAAAATCAAGAAGTTTTTTAATATAAAAAATCCGATTTTATAATACAAAATAATATTTTTCTAAGTCAAGGAATCATTTCCGACCCCATAAACCATATATATTCTTGATCAGCATTAACATGCGAATCTATCTAGACATGTCAGGAAGAAATCGATTTTTTGGCCATTTTTGTGAAATTTGATAAGGGGTTACATCATTAAAATTTTTGATTTTGATAAAAAATTGAATTTTCAAAATTTTTAAATGAAGTATGCAGATTTATTAACTGTAGAAAATCTTGCTCAGAACAGTTTTCCGATTTAAAATTAATGCTCTTTTGGCCGATATATGATATTTTTAATTTAAAAAAAATCAAGAAGTTTTTTAATATAAAAAATCCGATTTTATAATACAAAATAATATTTTTCTAAGTCAAGGAATCATTTCCGACCCCATAAACCATATATATTCTTGATCAGCATTAACATGCGAATCTTTCTAGACATGTCCAGAAGAAATCGATTTTTTGGCCATTTTTGCGAAATTTGATAAGGGGTTACATCATTAAAATAAGCAAAAATGGCCAACAATTTTGATTTCTTAAAATTTTAAATTTGGTATGCAGTTTTTTTAAGTTAATAAAAACTAACACAAAACTGCTTTCCGAATCGAAATTAATGCATTTTTGGCTTAGTTATGATATATTTTAATTGTTACCTGCAAGGAAATACAAACTTTGGCTGCCCAAACTTAGCTTTATTTCTTTTTTAAAGGGCCATTTTTGTTGATTACCGTAGCTTAATGCCATATACCCTAAACATTTATTGTAGATTCACATATTCATTTGAAAGACATTGAAAAGAAGGGGTTTGCCTTTTGTTTGGTCAAGCTGTAGCTCAGGTTTCCCATTTAAGTTTTCTTTATAAATTTTAGAGAAAACTTAGAATGTGTGCTTAAAATACCAAGCCAAATATATTGATATAATACAAAGTTTCAGTTTCCCCTGTGATTAATACTTCCTCCAGCCACCTTCCATAAATATTTGCAGCAACATTTCGCTCCATCTTTCTCGATTATTTTCGATTGTCGTGGCGTATGCTCGATGTTAATGCCGCGCCATATCCATTTCAGAGAACGAACAAAATCGAAAATTGTAAAAAAGTGCTTTTAATTTGATTCGGCATGCTGTCGCTCAGGTTTCCAATGTGGCAAACAGCAAAGTGGAAGTGCTTAATGGCCAATGCCAGTGTCAGTGCCAGCGTGGGACAGAGTCTCGAGCTAGGAATCGTCAGTACAGAGAACCCACCCCTGGATGGATAGTGCCCGGCTGAGCGGCAAGTTCAACTTGCACCACCGACGACGCACTGAAAAATCGCTGTTGCTCGCGGCTCGTGGGAAAGCCAGAGGTCTCCGGATTCTCACGAACGTCCAGCACGTGCGGGTCGTGCGCCGGAATGGATCGATGGACGGGGGAGGGACATCGACTGGGACCAAGTTACTCCCTCAGAGAAGCATTCTCGAGTGCATTATTCAAGGTATGGAGCCAAAGGAGCGCCGCACACACACACGCAAACACGCTTTATTGTTAATGGATATTTTCGAAAACAACTTTCTATAATGAAAATTGCGGTCTGTCGACTCTCTCCGAGTCGAATACATATATGTAGATAATTCTCACAAGACTGGTTTCTGTGCTCTATCGCTGGACGCAAAGTGTGGAGGTTATACATGGATATATATTTGGGTACCCTGATTCCCGATTTCCCGGACTCAAAAGCTCCTAAGGCAAAAGTTACAGTTGGCCGCATTCTCGTGCCTGTGCAGCTCCAGGCTCAGCGGCTCCGCATCGTCCACCCAGGTCTCCAGCGTGCAGGAGCTGGACTGGTGGCTGGACTTCTGGGACTGCGATTGCGAGAACGATCTGGTGGTGGCCGCCGCCGCCTGACGCCATCTCGTATCGAAGTCCTCCCAGCGATCGCAGGTGTCGTCGTCCAGGGAATTGCCATTGATATCCCACTTGACTATGGGAAAGTCATCGTGCGGCGGCTCCATGATCACCACGCTGTGGTAGTTGCCCTCGAACTTTGAGCCCAGGCTGATGCTGCAGGGATGCTGGTGCTGCAGCCGGTGGCTGACCATCTTCTGGGGCGTCTGTCTGGGAGGCTGATGCACTGACAGCTGCTTTGGAGGCGGCTGTTGCATCTGCTGCTGCTGCTCCTCCAGCTGCAGATCCAGGCTGGAGTTGGAGGGCGTGTGCCGGAGATAGCGCACATTCTCCTTGTAGGGCACCCGCTCAAACTCAATGGTGTCCAGCACCTCGTAGTTTCCGCAGCTCATCAAGTACTTGCTTCTCAGATCGAGCTTCGTTGCCTCCTGCGGCTGTGGTTCCTCCGCCTCCCTGGCCATTTCCGGTGGCGCCTCATTCTGGTTGCACTCGTCCAGCTGCAGCTCCTCGTAGATGGCCTCCGTCATGTGGCAATTGCTGTTGACGTCCAGCTCGAGGCCCCGTTGCAGGTCTGCACCCACTTCCGGCTCCATATCGTCCTCGTCGCCATCCTCCTCGTCCAGGCGCTGCACAAATAGCTGCTTTGAGGTGGATATCCGGCGCAGCAACTGCAACGACACACAAGTTGATGGGAGTGAACTTTACGTGCGGAAGTCAACGCGGCGTATGATTAACGCCCGGCACAACCCACTGAAAGCTCAGGCATGCGAACTTCGCGTTCTATTGTTATTCGGCGTTGGCCCCCATCGATTTTTTATTGATCGCCCGCCCCCCTTGACGCGTGACAACTAACCTTCAGACAGGACTTCTTGGTGCGCCTCAGCAAATGCGACATTCTGATTGTGTGTCTTTGTGTCGCCGCCAAAGTTGATTTATCCTTCGTAGTCGAAAGTTGCAATTACCGTGACTATTGTTGCCGTTTAGCCGGAGTTGTGGTATTGAGCCGGGGCATGTGCCTCATTGCTGCTGCAGCCCGTTGGCCTATCCAAACAAAACTGAACAAGGAAACGCCGCGGCGAACCCTCGCAGGTGGAGCAAGGACCTTACTTGGCCACGCGCGTGGCCCAAATGACTCATGGCAGTGGCAAAGAGGTGCACAAGGAAAAATTTTTAAAAGAATATTGGATCGGAAACATTTTCTGAATTAACTAAAGTTATTTTAATGCCAAATTAATTTAAGGAAGTTTGTGCTGCAAAAGAAAAAGTCTAAACCTGTTACTCGGAGGTCCTTGGGTGACTTTTCTTTCCGCTTTCTTTAGGGTTTTATTTTTTTCTTTAATTAAATTCAACTATAATCTTAGAATACCCATCTTATTTATATAAAATATATTAAATTTCAAGAAAAACATTTAATATTCCGCAAGAGAATAGCCTCCTTTCACTAAGCTTCTCTCCTATAAGCTGCTTTACACTTGGTTTACTCTTTTATAAACTTGTATTTGCTATATTCAAACTCTAATATAATTTATATATTCCATATTTTCTCCCTGTGCACTGGGGGAGCATTGCAAGTGCCCAGCTGAGAGCCATCGCCGGCACAGGCGCAGTTTAAGCCGAACGCACAGATTGGGAATCTCGAGTGGGGCGCCCGTAATGCGGTAATGGCCCGGCTTGGAGTGGCCACCTCCGCCGTCTGTTCCGCTCCGAGCTGCTCCTCCAAACCGAAGACCCTTGGTTGGCCGGTCAAGTGCCTCGGGGGGGCAGGCGTGTTGATGACGGGCCAAAGGTGAGTCCTGCTCCCCCTGATTACCATGGCTCGTGTTGCTGTTGGGGGCGCCAACTAGGCGCGCTGCCAGTCATGGCAAGTTTATTATGAAACTATTTCCGGAGAGAGGGTTGTCGTTAAACTTGCGGGAGTTGGCGATAAAACTATGGAGTAATATATGAGAATCACCTCGGAATTGTGTTATAAATAGGGCGTCAAAATATAAAAAGATGGGAGATTTGTTTTTTCGGAATTAAATAAAAGGTCAAGAAAAGAAAGTACTTCTCTTAGAACATCTAGAATATGACAAATTTCAAATGTTTCTTTCGAAAATCAAAAAACTTATAAATATTTAAGTGCGCACAAAATGTTACAAGCACAAGTACACAAGGGATCTCCTTAGTGTCATACATTTACTGGTAGCGATGTCCTTGAAATACTGAAGTGGCTCTGGTCACAACCTGATGGTAATCAAGCTAAATGTAGAGGACAGTCAGTAAATTTATGTGAACTGATGACAACCATTGGTTACATCAGAAACAGCTGCTTTTGCTTATCATAGACAACATCTCTGAGCAGTCTAAAGTAGCAATTTGATTTATTTCATGCCGACTTGACCTTTTCTTTTTGCTAAGAAACTTAAAGTAGCTCCTAAAGGACTAGAAAAGCTCTAGGAAATGAAATAAGAAAGCACTCTGACAGCTTGAATGAACTAAAAAACAATTGCATTTCATTTAGTTTTTTAATTTCTATGGGAAGTCAAAGGACTGACGACTGAATTAATGACATTTGCATGTAAATTTCCAGCAAATTAGGCAAATGATTTAAAACCGAAATTATTTAAATGCCTAATGATTTAAATGCATTTACTTGTACAAAAAAAGGGCAAAACCAGTTTTCAATTCAACATGCTAGAAATGTTTGAGTTCTACTTCCGCTTCGGTTTCAGTTTCGGTTTCCGTTTTTATTTATTTCTTTTTTTTTTTGTGAGTACGACACTTTACAGCCTGTCGCCGATTAGTCACATCGCTCACATCGAGGAGTGCTGCGGTTTCGGTTTAGTTTTGAAATCTGGAATCGAGTGAATGATGACACTCGCAGCAAATTGCAATCAAATCGCAATGATTCGGATATATTCGATTGCTTCTTCGGCTTCTGGGCATGACAGGATCCCCTTTTCGGTCCGGTCATCGCTCAATACTTTTGTCTCCTGCTCGTGACAGTTGTCATTCTCGGGAACTCTTTGCCATCCTTTCGCCAAGATCATTGCTGAAGGCCAAAAAATATTGATGGGCTGGGCCAATTAATGGTTGATTGATGGCGCACACTTCCAAGTTTCGCGATGAAGAGGCGCAATTGCCAATATCGATTACAAAAGTTTGATTTTAATTTTTAATTGCCCGTTCGATGGGCTCTCGGGGGTTGGCCCTAAATTGGCCAGAACAACAGACCGCAGTCCTACGCAGCCCTCCGCATCCCTGCCGCATCCCCTGTGAGCACGCACTCTATTATTATTCTGCTATTATTATTATCGTTGTCATTGCCGTGGAATTTGCTAGGGGTGTGCGTGTAGGGGTTTGCCATGGCCTTGGGCCCGAGTGTGCGAGTGTGTGAAGTGGGCTGTGTCCTCGGGGCAAGTGTCAATTATGCACGACTTGATGGCCACTCTGGAAATCGCTGTTGAAAATTTACATTTTATTAGTTTTACATGATCGTGCCGCGATTCGAGGGCATTAAAATTATTTACGATGCCAAATATTGTTGGTTGTAAATTACGCCCTGTGGCATATATATTCAGAGACTGGCTTTCGGGGCGTTTTCGGGGATAATGGTTTCTATCTCTCTATCGCTTGACCTCTGCCGCTAATTAGAGCCTCATTGTTCCGGCGCTCACGAACCTTTCACGGAGCGTGTTCCTAAATGTTCGGCAAGTCTGTTGCGATTCGGACCGGAGTCGTTGCCTGATAACAATTGCGAGAGCGATTAGCTAGAGCACCGGATCTCTGAACGTTCAGTTACGTTCCAAGTGGCGACATGGCCAGCGGGGTTCCGGAAATCCATTACTATGAGCACGAGCTCAGCATCCGCCGGGTCATTGAGGAGTCTGGCCTGCAGGACCTGGACCAGGCCCTCAACATCTGCGACCTGTCCAGCGTGGAGCAGAAGCACCGTCTCTGGCAGCGTCTCCTGCCCAGGATTAGGCCTTACTATGCGGTCAAGTGCAACGATGACCCCGTGGTAGTCCAGTTGCTGGCCGATCTGGGCACTGGCTTCGACTGCGCCTCCAAGAACGAACTCAAGCTGGTGGGTGACTTATAGGAAATAGTCTAGACTCTAAACTATAGGGTTTTTAATAGGTATAAAGAGTAGTCTGCTCTATATTTCATTGATAAGCTTAGTTTATATATATATATATTTTTAAAACCAAGCAGACGGCAGACGATTACTAAAAAAGATTTCATGTCTTGCCTTTATAAGCGTTGATTATGTACACTAAACAGCATAGTTTGTGATAGAAGCAATCTAGTTTTCATAAAAGAACCATGAATATAGAATCAAGACTTAAGGCAAGGTGTACTTAAAAGACAGATTGTGTATATTTAATGAAAAATATCCCTAACGGCAATTACTGAGCATATACAGAGGTCTTCAAAGGAAAATTCCATTTAAAAATATTCCACTTTTAAAATTCCATTCAAAAAATGTCGTATTATTGGGCCTGGGTTATCAACGGATCGTATTATAAAGACACATTTGTATAGCTCAGTTCAGTTAGTAACAGTTTAGTGGATTATTTAATTAAACCTATTTCATATAATTAAAATTTTTAAAAGGGTTCCCATTTTCTAATTTTTACTCCCAGGTCCTAGGCTGCAATGTTTCACCGGAGCGGATAATATTTGCCAATCCTTGCCGACCTGTCAGTCACCTAGAGTACGCCAAGGAGCATCAGGTGGCCAACGGCACGGTGGACAATGAGTTTGAGATTTACAAGCTGCACAAGCACTATTCCAACTCCAAGTAGGTTGTCTTAAAACTTACTCAAATATGTTAACTCTAGTGAGATTTATATAACCTTTACCAACAATTTCCTTAGTTTGATTGTCAGATTCAAGAGCGAGGCCAAGGAGGCTCAGTGTCCCCTGGGCGATAAATTTGGCTGCGATGCGGATGTGGATGCCACGGCCCTGATGCTACTAGCCAAGTCCCTGAACCTAAAAGTAACTGGCACCAGCTTCCATGTGGGCTCTGGTTGCAGCGAGTTGGAGGCCTATGACCGGGCCATCAAGAAGGCCAAGAACTTGTTCAAGTTTGGCGAGCTGCTTGGTTATGACATGGACTTGCTGGACATTGGCGGCGGTTTTCCAGGCAGCGATGATGGGAAGTTTGAGAAGGTGAGTTTCGGGTTAAAATATATTATTTAGAAATAAAATTTATAAGGAATTATATGTTGCAGATTTCCGAGATCGTGAATACTTCGGTGGAGCGCTATTTTCCCGATGAGCGTGTTAAAATAATTGCAGAACCCGGACGCTTCTTTGTGGCTGCTGCTTACACTTTGATTTGCAAGATCCATGCCAAGAGGGAGGTTCGCAACGAGGCTGGAAAGCTGGACACTGTGATGTACTACCTCAACGATGGTGTCTATGGATCGTTTAACTGTATTCTGTATGATCACCAGGTGGTCACAGCGGAGCATTATCTGGTAAGTTTCATTGGTAATTTTAATGTTCTTAAGAAAATATATTTTAGATATCTGTCTCTTTTGAATTATATATTTTTATTAACCATTGAAACTTTTTCTTAAAGGACGAAGCCAATTCCTTGCCGCAGTTTAAATCTCTGATCTGGGGGCCCAGCTGCGATGCCTTGGACAAGGTGGGAAGAGCTTATAAATTCTTTCAAGAGTATTTTATAATTTTAAAATCCTCTTTCAGATATCGGAGGACCTGCTGTTGCCCAACCTGAACCGCGGTGACCTTATAGGGTTTCCCAACATGGGCGCTTATACTGTGCCCATAGCCAGTCCCTTCAATGGATTTGAGCTGCCAAAGACCCTATATTTCCGGGCCATATGACTAAGTTGTCATCAATGGGAAATAAAATATATTTTCGATATCATTTGTAGCCAACAAGAGTTATTTGTTCTGGGCAGGCCTTAGGTTTCACAATCCTTTAAATTTCTTGAATCATTTTTCCTGGACAGTAAAAGAAAACTCTGCTCCTTTTGCATTTGTAACCAACATGGATTCTTTATTAGTTAGATTCTCGGATTCTCCCCGAATTCTCGGACAGCTTAGCTCGCATGGAGAGTGCACTAGGCTGAATATATCGAAGGAAACGGCTTTAGCCGTTGGCAACTGACCCGAATCGGCGATGCAGCGCGTTCCCTAGGAGATATTCTTGATGCCGCTTCCGCTTCCACTTTGCTCCTGCCCCGCTCCCAAGACCCCGACCACCGGGAGCCGGCTACTGACCCAAGCCGGCCGACGGATGGAGGGGGGCTGGGAGGTGGCGAATCAAAAGCGACAGCGGATGAGGTGCAATTACAATTAATTATAGCGAATTACAACTTAGCTTTTGCATAGACATAATTGAAAAGGTACGTATGTATGTGTGTATAAAAGTATATGTATAAAAAAATTTCAAAAATTCCACACACTTTGCATATACAAATTTCTTGCTCTAATTCCAATCTCGCGATTTGTGGCGTAAATATATCAAACTCGTCTCTCTGCGATGCCTCAAAAATGTACTCGTAAATGTAAGTAAATGTAAATTCTATAAAATGTCACTATTTTAGCCGTGTTGAGCTTGCTAGCTCCTGATATGTCACGATATAATAACAATATAATAACGATATGTATTCTCGATTTGTGTTTAGGGGGAAAAGGGAGTTGGGAACTGGGGGGTATTAGGATGGAGTACTTGCCCCTCGTTTGTGGCAAATAAAGAGTACAAACTACTTATTCCATAATCAGTTCTTGGTGATTGATGCAAATGAATATTACTTTCTTCTCTTGGTTTCCTCATGCGTGTTTTCCTTCCGCTGAACCCAAAAAGGAGCCACAAATTAGTTATTGTTGGGTTTAGGGTTACAGATACTTCGACTAGGTGAGATTGCTTTGGGGTTGGGTCTCGGGTGCGGAGGAAGGACTGTAAACAGGTGAGTAGTAATGATTGTATCTCACAACACCGACGACAAGACGACGATAGACTACACGTAATATAAATGGTAAATGGGTGCACATATATGCATGCACAATATCCTTTTTATCCCACTCTTAAACTTAACAATATTCCGATATGTTTGAGTTTCGCTTGGGTGCGCTGAGTGCCGGAGCACTTGTGCCTAAATCAAGCCTTACATCTACGCTGGGACTGGATCTGGGGTCTGGGACTTCTCCTGCTGACCCATCAGTTCCAGCAGTTCCCCTTCGAGTCGAGCTACTGTGCAAGTTTGGATGGGGTGGATCTTGGATCTTGGATCGTGGATGTTGGATGGCCGCCGCAGGTGCCTCGATTCAACAAGGTGGGTTGGGATGCTGTCTGCTGGCTGGCCGACTTGCTGACTTGCTTGCTTGTCGTTCAAAAAGCGTGCTTTCTGAGTCTAATTATTGGCAGAGTTGCATAATTCACGGTTTCTCTACAATCTATAAGAAAACATACAATACAACAACAGCAGGGAAATGGTACGAAGGATGGTCTGTGGTTGGGGTCTGGTTTGGATTTAGTTATCTTTTGGCTTGCCACTGGACATGTGTCGAATCAGACCGAATGGAACTGGAACTATCACTGATCTCTGACTGTGTCTGGGTGGAACTGAAACTGAAGCTGAAACTGACCCACATAGAACATGGCTGGACAGGCATTAGACGCTAGTCAGAAACGCCACGCTACACACGGCAATCTGGGCCAGGATGTTCACTTGCAGGATCCGCATCAGACCGCCGCTGGTGGGCGAGGGACTCACATTGAGGCCGGCGCAGTGCATCTTCTCGGTGGGCATGGCCTGCACGAAGTACTCGCGATTGTCCAGCCCCATATGGCACAGCGGCTTCTTCTTCTGCGACATTTCGTCGTCCTTGTTCTTCAGGTCCTCCAGCAGCTTGGGGAACCAGGTCAGCTCGCACGAGCAATTCAGCGGATTATCTGTAGGAAGGAGATTTTAAATTTAAATACGTTTTAGATAAGGTTTTAAGGTTTGGAGTGTCCACGACTTGCCGGTGATATCGATGATGCGTAGGGTGTCGATGACAGGCTCCATGATGTCTTGTGGAATGCGCTGCAGCTTGTTGTTTTGCAGATTGAGCGTCTCCAAAGAGTTGAGGTTCTCAAATAAAACGCTAGGTAAGACTTTGATGCTGAAATACAATAGAAGGTGGGTTACATGGGTTATTCACCAGATAATCCATACATTTTCATTCCATTTTCCTTGAAATAGAGCTATGAATATGGGTCAATCTGAGATAAGATAGGAATGTTGTTTATTCAAGTGGAAAAACTTTGAAAACAACTCACATCTCAGTCTATGCATTGATAATCTGCCAGAGATTAGTAGGAATTTTATATAGTAAAGCAAATATTTGAACAAAGATCACAGGTTATTGAACAAACAGCGAATTCTATAAAGTCTGACGTTAATTTCTTGTAATAATTAAGACTTTAGGTTTAAAAGGTAAATATATTTGAGATGGAATAAACCACGAACTTTGAAGGTATAAAATATAATTCCTGTTTATAAAATAGCAAGGAAAGACTTTGTAGAAAAACTGAGGAGTTATTTTACAAAGTCTTTCTTTGATCTTTTATTAAGGGATATTTTATTAAGGTTTAGAATCTTACTCATTTTTCTGCAAGTTGAGGAAAGTAAGGGAATCTCCGAATCCAGTAAAGGCATCCTCGGCGATAACATTGATATTATTATTGCGCAAATCCAAATGGCGAAGGCGGTGCAAAGGACGCAGTGCCTCACTGGGAATGGTGTGGATTTGATTATCACCCAGACGCAGATATTGCAGGTTCTCTGAGGATGCCGGAAGAGAGATAAGATATAATGGGACCTTAACTATGAAGCTAGAACATACCCTCCAGACCCTTGAAGGCGTCCTTGTCAATGGAACTGATCTTATTGCCCTCCAGCTCCAGGGAGTTGAGCAGGGTGAGGTGGGAGAAGACATTGGCAGGCACGGTGGTGATCATGTTGTGGGCCAAAATCAATGAGTCCAAGCTCTGCAAGCCTGTGAAAATGGATTTAGTTTGACATTATTAAGGTAATAAAGATTTCTTTCTTGGCTAGTTACCCTCGAAATCGCCCTCGCTAATGGTTCGTATCTTGTTCTCCTGTATCTCCAGCTTCTTGAGCGTGTCCAGAATGGACAGGGCTTTCTGGGGAACACTGCTCAGATCGTTGCCGCCCAGATTGAGACGCTTTAATTTGCTAAAAGACAAAAGGATAAAGGGATATATTAAAAGAAAAGCCCCATAAAAACTATTTACAACCTACCCCTCGAGTCCACGGAAAGCCTCGGGATCGATCTGTGTAATCTTGTTCTCGTAGAGCGTCAGAATCTCCAGGGTGTCCAGGCCTTCAAAGGCGTTGTTATGGATTACGCTGATTTTGTTGTGGTTCAAATTAAGGATCAACAGGTGGAACAGGTGCTGCAGAGCCTGCGAGGGCACCGTCTTCATTTGGTTAAGAGAAACATCCAGCTGGGTGAGTCCGTTGCCTAAGTATAAAAAAGAAAACCATAAAGCCTCTAAGCTAGAACTCTTCCTCGACATCTAGTTACCCAGCGAGCTGAGGGCATTCTCCTCGATGGCCGCCAGACTGCTGTTGTGAATGGTTAGGTGGCGGATGTCCAGGGCCAGGAAGACGAAGCCCTGCAGCTTGGGCAGGTTGTTGTGGCGCAGCTTTAGGTAAAAGATGATCGGGCTCTTGCCCTTCAGCGTGCCCATTGACTTGGTGATGTGCGCCAGGTCCGTGGTCTCGCAGAGAATATCCAGGCCGTTCTTTTTCACCGTGCAGATGCAAGGCGAAATCTCGCCCTGCTCGGGGCACACCTGCAGCGGCGGTGGGCCCTGGGCCACTGTTTGGCCCATCATCAGCACCTGGAGGAGTCCCTGCAGCAGCACCGCCACGGCCGCCACCTGTCCTGTCTGCAACTGAAGCCTCGCCATGCTGAACACCTGCTGGTGGATCGCGGTCTCGTTGGGGGTTTCTCAAGTGATCTCTGGCAAAGAGTGAAAGTCCCGGATGGCAGGCGGTTGTCGCGATCTCTGATGCTGATGATGACTGCTATTTACAATGGCTATTGCTGTAGCCCTGTGTGCGAAAAAGAAAAAACAGACCAGAGTTCAGGGGACTGGGGTCTCGGGGGAGGTGGAGAATTCTATGGAGGGAGCAGCAGCACCAGAAGCACCAGCAGCAGTAGAAGCAGCGGCGAATTAAGCGCACAATGCGCGATTTTATTTGGGTTGTGTGCCCGCGGATTAACTATGCTCGTAAATTGCCCGCAATTGAGCTGTCCGTCCGGCTGTGGCTGCTAGTGCTGGCAGTGCTGCTCCTCCTCCTCCGTGTCGAAGTCTCCTGCTCCTGGTGCTCACCTAAATGGTTAGTCCGTCCGCGGCTAGCGAGTGCCAAATGAAACATGCTTCCAGTGCCGCCGAGATGCAACAAATTCGCTCACTCTCTCTCTCTGTCGTCTCTCGCCTCTCTGGGGGAGTCCCAGCTGCCTAGATGTGTGTGTGTGTGTGTGAGTGAGCGGTGGCCCCTCTCTTTCGGGGGTGGCAACGGGGCGTATGCGTAATGGCAGTGGGCCAAGTGCGTGTGTGTATAACGATGTAACGGAAAATCGATACGGCCGCGTCGAGAGGAGGTTGTTGAATGGCCCAAGCTCGGTTTGTTTGTATATTTTGTTCTCGTCCTGTTCTGGTATTTGTTGCTCCTGGCTACTGACTCCTGACTTCTAACTCTCGAATTTCCACGCTTCTCAAGCGCTCCTTTGGCTTGTTTCGCACCGTATCGATGTGCCACCGGATTCCGTTACATGCGTCGCACTCACAGGATCCCTCGTCAGTGGCTGGCTGCTAGTCCTGTGCTGCTAATCCTGTTGCATTCTCCGCGAAATTCGACTGGCGAGCCCCGATTCACCATCAGCTGAATCCCAATCCTGGACTCGGATCCGGACTCGGAGTCGGAATCGGAAGGTGTACGGAAAGGAGCGGTGTGCGAAGCGTCGATTGATAGAAAATGAAGCACGTTTGGTTGGCAAAACCGACGATTGCGGACTGAATGGAAATTGGACTTAAGCTTGGCTGGCAGTCGCCACCAGTGATGTCAGTTTTTTCAGCGGCTTATTTAAAAGATTGGCATATATAATTAATGTATTTTTATTTTTAAAATGCTTCTTCGAATATGCATATTTTTACAGAATCTAAATATTCCAATCTCTTACTACCCTAAGAATCGCTTTTATTAAATAGTTTTAGAAGAGTTTATTTTACATATTTGCGTTTATTATCGAAGAAGTTCCTAAGACGTATATAGTGGATCGCAGCTTATTTTGTTCAGTCAAGAAACGAAAAGTCATTTAGAAGTCTGCTTTAATTTTCTACTTAATATTCCCGCTGCCCGCTGTTTTAAAAATTTTCCCGGAAAAAGCGGGCCAGACATCACTGTTCGCCACTCTATGGGGGTGGTTTTCCAAAGCTCCGCGAAAGCTTCTCGGAGCAGCCAAGAGCATAGGCATCTTCTCGATGGAAGGCTCTGAATAATCTCAGAATTTAATGGCGGGCTTCACGTTAGTTGCACTGAAACAGATCTACTTGAGCACAGAATATAAACAAATTAAAAATTAAACAAGAAAGAAAGCTAACTTTGGCCAGCCAAAGTTTGTATACCCTTGCAGGTAACAATTAAATATATCATAACTAAGCCAAAAATGCATTAATTTCGATTCGGAAAGCAGTTTTGTGTTAGTTTTTATTAATTTAAAAAAACTGCATACCAAATTTAAAATTTTAAGAAATCAAAATTTTTGGCCATTTTTGCTAATTTTAATGATGTAACCCCTTATAAAATTTCGCAAAAATGGCCAAAAAATCGATTTCTTCCGGACATGTCTAGAAATATTCCACTGTTAATGCTGATCAAGAATATATATGGTTTATGGGGTCGGAAATGATTCCTTGACTTAGAAAAATATTATTTTGTATTATAAAATCTGATTTTTTACATTAAAAAACTTCTTGATTTTTTTAAAATTAAAAATATCATAACTCGGCCAAAAGAGCATTAATTTTAAATCGGAAAACTGTTCTGTGCAAGATTTTCTACAGTTAATAAATCTGCATACTTTATTTAAACATTTTGAAAATTTATTTTTTTATCAAAATCAAAAATTTTAATGATGTAACCCCTTATAAAATTTTGCAAAAATGGCCAAAAAATCGATTTCTTCCTGACATATCTAGAAAGATTCCCCTGTTGATGCTGATCAAGAATATATATACTTTATAGCAGCGATGGGCACGCAGTGGCTCAATTTGCTCACGCTGCTCAAACCGTTATCTTTTTTCGGAGGCGCCAGCATGTCGCACAATTGCAGACGCACAAGTGCAGTGCTCGCGACCAGCGAACCGTGAAGATTTACAAAAACAACCACACTGACCTTTGGCGCAGGTAGCGAGCCCATCGCCGCGATCCCGAGTTTGCAACAACAAAACACAAGCGACCCGAACTCGCACATCGTCCCAAAAACAAGAACAATTTTAAAGGGACCTGCGCGGCTGGCGTTGACTTCTGCACTAAAGAAAAAAGATTGGATTTTTTCGGCTCGCACATTCTGTGTGTCGCGTGGGTGCGACGCTTCGCAACGCCGGGGGTTGTTGTTTTTTTTTTTTTTCAGCGAGCTGCTGCTCAAACCGTTAGATCTCGTGCCCATCGCTGGTATAAAAATAAGAAATAAGGTGGAACAGATATTTTTAGAAGTTATAATGGCAGATATTTGCTATTCCTTAATAATAAATAAATAAATAAAAAATCCTCATAACAGAATATATTCAACATCAGGAGAGTGACGGAAATCGCCCTTGACTTTAAATTAATTTATACCGCTTACAGAAGTATGGTTAAGTTATGTACCGTTATGTTATGTAACCGAAATATAAATATAAATAAAATGACTAGGAGAAATTATAAGGATAAGAAAATAAATAGAGTAAATTTATAATTTTATTTAGTTTAAAACTCCGAAGTGTGACCAGCTTTGAATAATAAGAAGATGAAATAGTAAGGTTAGCGGATGCTAGATGGCGCATTTTGAAGCAGTGTACAAAATTCAATTGGTTTAAAAACTGGTTATTTAAGCAGTGCTTAACTGCTTTTATGAACTGCTTGTTGTGCGAAGCAGTTTAATTGATGCTATAAAAGGATTGCTATAAAAATTATGCCATAAATTGCTATAAATAAGTATCTGCTATAAATAAGTATCTGCTATAAATATGTAGCTGTAAACATGCTGCGTAAAAAATGTTGCAATTAATCTCTATAAATATGTAGCTGTAAACATGTTGAGAAACATCCATCTACTGGATTTCGTATTTATTTCATTTAAGAATGTTTATTTTTATTATTTTAGATTCCAAATGCCTGTGATTTTTATATTATAATTATTAATCTTATATTAATCCGTTTGAAAAGAGGTTGTAAAAGGGAGTTGGACCACCTCAAACCCTGTCAAATTCTGTTATCAGATTATCAATAATAGAACCTGCTTTATTAATTGTATTATATTAATTTTATATTTTTTATAATTTATTGTGTAAGTAAAGGTCGTGTGGTCATGTTTTGGCTTCCACTAAATCGTTTCTGGCCTTGGCTATGCTTCCTCAGCTGCCAGCTCCAGCTCCAGCTTCAGCTCCAGCTCCAGCCTTTGATGACAATCCTGATCAGGTTACAGCCGCACGTGGGCGTAATTTTCTCGCAATTAGGATGCGATTATCATAATACGAGTATGAGAGCGAGCGTCGTCGAAAGGGTAATTGAAGAACAACCAGCTCAACCCATTCCCCGCCAGCGTCCAGCCACCAGTCTGGGCTGGATCCTTTCGGCCGGCCCATGGCCACGTGCCAGCAAGACGCCTTCAGCCGGTGTGCACAGTTTCAATTTGATATTCCTTTGGACCGGCGAACAACGTCTTGGGGTTGTTTCTCGGGATTAAGTTCACAGGCAGCTGGAGCAGTGCGGGCTTAGTCTGATTCTTACTCTGTGGCAGCGTGGCTTATGACACTGACAAGAGGTTGTGCGTTGCACAGGAGGAAATTGGGATGAATTTGGAATATATATCTTTATAATAAAATTTAGTAAATCTGAAAAGGGCTAGAAAATAAATTTAAAACATTTTTAAACATGTATTTGAGCAATCAATAATTTAATTTTTGATTAAGAAAATAATAAAGAAACACAAAGAAATTTATAATCTGATATTTTGGCTTAATTTTGCATTTAATTTAATTTAATTTTTAAAGCATAATCTAATACGAATTTTTAAATAATAAATACATATTAGTATACAATTTTTTCCAGTGTGGAATCAGCATAAAGTTGGACTTTGAATTTAACAAAGTGCAAAATCCTTTACACTTTGAAGACTGATTGACTTCTTATCCTTGAATGGATTTGAATGGAAATTGTGTTTCACTTTCCTTCCGTCAAGGCTAATGGTGGGGTGTCCTTGCGCGGTGTGCGTGTGTGTGTGTGTGTGAGTCCTGTATAAACAAACGGAAGATAATCAAGATGTAAAACACAATTCGTTGAGGGTGAGGGTGGCGTAAACCGGGAGCTGACTTGGCGGCTGTAATTCAAAACCAAACAAAACCGTCGAGGAATCAAAAGGCAAAGCGATGGCAAATTACAGCGTTACAGTTGCAGTTGCCTCACAAAAATCGCAGGGAGTAGGGGGACAAGGGGTCGGTGAAAAAAAATTGTGAAGCGGAATTTCGCCATTTCACTTTGTACTTGGAAAACTGTTATTAACTTAATGAAGGAGTGTTGCGCGCCACATTTACCTGACACGTGATTCGGAGCGCACCGGAAGCTGAGGGTCCCGCAAAAGTAGCTGGGGCCCCCAGAGTTTCCTTATTTACTTTCTGTTCGGTGAGCAATGAGAGCTGTAAATGGTGTCAAGTCCTTAGGAGTTATCACATTACTACATTTTCAATTGAAAAGAATGAGAAAGATAAGAGTGAAGTGTTTTCAATAGATACTTTAACATGCATTATATTTTTAAGCAAGAGATAATCGACAGATTTAACAGTAATGGTTTTAATTTATGCATAAATATTGATGGTTTGCTGTAATAACTGCACCAATTAAGGTTTCTTTTTTAAGAATAAAAATCAACGTTACAAGAAATAAGTCAAAATGATGCTAAGAACACAGAAAGATTTTCAAGCAGAAGATGTTTACTGATGTTTTGGTAAGGTGTCACCTCTTTCTTATCATTTTGTATATATTTTTACATCATATTTGGGATTAAGCTTAATAAATGTTTCTGTTATTTAAGCTTGAACTCTCCTCCATCCCATTTTAAACATTTTCTTAAATAAAAAAAATGGTAGTCCATTTCCCAAGCTTAGATTTGTCTCAAATTAATGAAAAAACTACTTCTATTACAAAGAAATACAGTTTTAAAAATGTTACTTCACATTGTTAACTATACATCTAAAAAGTCAACAAATTGAACTCATTAATCCGCACTTGAGCACTTTTAATGCAATGCCTGGTGTAGTTGTCTGGGAATCAGATTAAGCAATTTGACATTTATCGAAGGAATTTTAGTCGATGGTTCATTAGGGGGCTGTCATTGTTATTAATCAATATCAATATAACTTTGGCGAGGCACTCATGAGCAGGGTCTAATTGGGTTATATCTATTCGGCAAACTTGGAGAGCTGGCTTCCTGCAGATTTAACAGCAGCTAACAAACCAAATCCGTCGGCAGCTGTAATTAAAACAAAGACCGAGCACATCCCCGCTCCATTGGGAGCTCCTTTTTGGTAACCGACACATATGTATGTATGCATCCAGCGGAGGAGCAGGAGATGGCAGAGTGGCGGCAGAGCAGCTGCGAAGGATCGGGCGAGCGGAGGAGCTATGTAACCGTATCTTTGCATTGACGCTCAGATGAAGCTCATCTGGCAAAGTGGCAGGTTAAGTAAACAGTTTCATTGTGCGAATTCAATTAAAATTTATTCAAAATACGTCAACGGCAGCTACTCAAAAGCTGCTGCAGCAGCAACAAAGTGTCCGAGTGAGTGCGTGTATCTGCATCTGTGAGATACAACTATGTATCTTATATGCTTCTCTCTCACCCGCTATCTAACCCCCTCTCTCTCTCTCTCACTCTCTCTT